GCCGGGCCCTGGCCCCGGGCCGGGGCCGGGTGGCGCCGGGTGGCGCAGTAGTGGCTGCTGCTCCGCCAGGCGGTAGTTGATGGGCGCGGCCGGCGGCAGCGACACGGCGTGCGCGGAGTTGGGGGACGTGATCTCGAAAGTCGGCACCTGCGTGGCCAGCGAGTAGTGGAAGTCCACGGGCGAGAGGCGAGCGGGGGTGGTCAGGGCCGACACGTACCTGCGGGGACAGGCGGAGAGGCAGGGTGTGGGCCGCGGTGGGGAGTGAGGGGCGGGACCCGACCAGAAGCAACCTCCTTGCCTAGGATCCCGCCTGCAGGAATGAGGGCGGTAATGCTCAGTGACTTTATGCAATTTCATTAACCCCGAACCTCAGTTTCCTTATCCTTTAAGCTGGGATAACCATAGTGTTTATTCCATACCGTTGTTAGAACGATTCTAGAAATGTATCAGTGGGATGCCTTAGCCCGGTGTCTGGCCCGTGGAAAGCCTCCATAAATGGTCATTTGCTGTGGGGAAGCTCACAGACACCGGGTCAGGCTCAGGCTGGGGCACTTTTTTTTTTTTTTTGTCTTTTGTCTTTTTTCCGTGTCCGGCAACGGAACGCAACCCTCAGTGTTGCCCCCGTACCGGACCGGGGACCGGCAACGGGATCGCAAACCTCGGTGTTGCTCCCGCGCCTCGCTCAGCCAGTGAGCGGGAACCGGTCTGCATATGGGATCCGAACCCTCGGACGGGAGCGCTGCCGCGCTTCCCAAGCGGCGCACCATCCAGTGCGCCACCGGGCCGGCCTGGGCTGGGGCATTTTTTTTTTTTTTTTTGTCTTTTTTCCGTGTCCGGCAACGGAACGCAACCCTCAGTGTTGCCCCCGTACCGGACCGGGGACCGGCAAAGGGATCGCAAACCTCGGTGTTGCACCCGCGCCTCGCTCAGCCAGTGAGCGGGAACCGGTCTGCATATGGGATCCGAACCCTCGGACGGGAGCGCTGCCGCGCTTCCCAAGCGGCGCACTATCCAGTACGCCACCGGGCCGGCCTGGGCTGGGGCATTTTACAGTGTACTTCAAAAAGTTCATGGAAAGATTCGTGTTGTTTTTTAATTCTATTTTTCC